CTTGTTACCCAGGCTGGAGTGCAATGGCACCATCTCGGCTCACTGCAACCTCCGCCTCCTGGGTTCAGGCAATTCTCCTGCCTCAGCCTCCTGAGTAGCTGGGATTACAGGCACGCGCCACCATGCCCAGCTAATTTTTTGTATTTTTAGTAGAGACGGGGTTTCACCGTGTTGACCAGGATGGTCTCGATCTCTTGACCTTGTGATCCACCCGCCTCGGCCTCCCACAGTGCTGGGATTACAGGCGTGCGCCACCGCGCCCGGCCTGATTTTTTTTTTTTTTTTTTTAAGAGGTAGGGTTTTTATTACGTTGCCTCATCTGGACTCTAGCTCCCGGGCTCCAGGGATCTTCCCTCAGCCTACCGAGTAGCAGGGATATGGCACTAAGTCTGGATCATCTAACACTGTATTATGAAAAATGTCAAACATACTGAAAATTTGAAAGCTATTTACAATGAACACATGTCAACAAAACACCTATACTTTTTGAATATTTTACCTTTAATTACTATGTGTAGAATTTATGGCGCCTTCTAGGTATGAGGTATGCTGATGAAATAAATGAATTTAAGGTGAGGATCTTATTTTATTTTTTGAGATGGAGTCTCACTCTGTCACCAGGCCGGAGTGCAGTGGTGCAATCTTGACTCACTGCAACCTCTGCCTCCTGGGTTCAAGCAATTCTCCGGCCTTGGCCTCCCAAGCAGCTGGGACTACAGGTGCATGCCATTATGCCTGGCTAATTTTTTGTATTTTTAGTAGAGATGGAGTTTTACCCTGTTAGCCAGGATGGTTCTGATCTCCTGACCTCATGATCTGCCCGCTTCGGCCTCCCAAAGTGCTGGGATTATGGGTGTGAGCCACCATGCCCGGCCCTAATTATTTTTTTCTATTGATAAATTTGATATTTATGCCAAATTATCTTAAACAGCCACTGATTGATTTCAGTAGTTCTCAAATACGAAATAGTCTAATTATACTACGAATCTGTGATTCAGTTGACTGGCAAGCTTTAATGAAATAATGAATATTTTTTTTATTTATTTTGGAGACAGGGTCTCTGTCACCCAGGCTGGAGGGCAGTGGCCCAATCTCAGCTCACTGCAACTCCTGCCTCCTCGGTTTAAGCGATTCTCCTGCCTCAGTCTCTCAAGTAGCTGGGATTATAGGCATGTGTCACCATACCTTGGTAATTTTTGTATTTTACTAGAGATGGGGTTTCACTATGTTGGCTAGGCTGTCCTTTGACCCCTGACCTCAAGTGACCCACCCCACTCGGCCTCCCAAAGTGCTAGGATAACAAGCATAAGCCACTGTGCCCAGCCTGAAATAATGAGTTCATTAATAATTTGGAAACAAACTTCAAAACTTGTTCTACAGTCTGTATTCTCTGGGCTTCCAAAGTAAACAGGATTTTTGGAAACATCCCAGGCCACATTCAGATAGAAGTCTGAAAATACTAAATGATCAAGTTGTCAAAACCCAAAATGGTAGCCGGGCATAGTGGATCAAGCTTATAATTCTAGCACTTTGGGAGGCTGAGGTGGGAGGTTTTATTTGTTTGTCAAGTAATAAACAAACAAAAACTCAAAATGGTTAGAAGTTAATGAGAATGATTTTCATGGGTATTCTAAAAATAGTATGTGCTGGCATCATTGAAAGTCTGCAAGTATTCCTAATGTCATCCCACAAGAATGTCCACCTAACGTTCTAGTCACTGCTCATATGCCATTTTGTTTCATAGGAATAGTATATAAAAATTGACATCAGAAATCAGAAACAGAAGGGAGATTTACTAAACACACAGTGATAGGGATGTTGAGCATCTAAAACAACTTAGATCCTTAATTTTTTTTTTTTTTTTTTGATCCTTAATTTTCATTGGCGTGTCTCAAATTTCAAGCATGCCATCTCTTTTCACAGGGAGAAAAAAGCCGTAACACTTGAAGGTTAACTTAATATATACTTATTTTAATATTTTTTATATTTTTATGAACATAAAATAGGTATTCTTTCTGCTTATAGTTCATATACAATAAATGATAAAACATTTAAAATTAAATTAAAACAAAAATAAAACCAATAAAATGGAATTTAACCATCATGAACATAACAAATAATGCTGTCTTGCTCAAATAAAAGTGTTTTGCTCAAATGAAGTAAATCACAAGTATTTGGTTTAATAGCAAAAAGCTGTAGTTTCAGATTCCATTCTGTAAACTGAGTATTTTTACTTTAATAATAATGTTGAGAATGCTTGCTCACATAAGTATCTTATTCAAACTGGTATTGACCAATTAAGTCTTTCCTTCTTCTTTCAAGGTAACTAGAATTATTTTTTTTTTTTTTTTTTTTTTTTTGAGACTGAGTCTTGCTCTTGTTCTGTTGCTCAGGCTGGAATGCAGTGGTGTTATCTCAGCTCACTGCAACCTCTGCCTCCTGGGTTCAGGTGATTCTCCTGCCTTAGCCTCCTGACTAGCTGGGACTACCGGTGTGTGCCACCACGCCTGGCTAATTTTTGTATTTTTAGTAGAGATGAGGTTTTGCCATGTTGGCCAGGATGATCTTTAACTCCTGACCTCAAGGGATCTGCCTGCCTGGGCCTCTCAAAGTGCTGGGATTACAGGTTTGAGACATCAAGCCTGGCCAAGAACAAAATATTAACCAAACCTGTCAAATGGCAGTCCTTAAATGCCAACTTTTATATTTTTCTTTCTTTTTTTCTCTCTTTTTTTTTTTTTTTAAAGACGGGGTTTCACCATGTTGGTCAGGCTGGTCTTGAACTCCCGACCTCAGGTGATCCGCCCGCCTTGGCCTCCAAAGTGCTTAGATTACAGGCGTGAGCCACCACGCCCGGCCACCAACTTTTAAAAAGTTGTAAATTGATAGACTGTGAAGATTATCAATTACCTATTTATTTTTATTTATTTTTTTGAGACGGAGTTTTGCTCTCGTTACCCAGGCTGGAATGTAGTGGTGTGATCTTAGCTCATTGCAACATCCATCTCCTGGGGTCAAGTTCCCTTGTCTCAGCCTCCTGAGTAGCTGGGATTACAGGCGTGTGCCACCACTCCTGGCTAATTTTTTGTATTTTTAGTAGAGATGGAGTTTCACTATGTTGGCCAGGCTGGTCTTGAACTCCTGACCTCAGGTGATCCGCCCACCTTAGCCTTCCAAAGTGCTGGGATTACAGGTGTGAGCCACCTCACCCAGCAACAATTACTTACTGTTAATCTTCACTGCCTAATGAAATCATTGCCTAGTGACAATTGAATCTAATTAGTTTTAGATTTGGAATGGAAACATTCTTTGCTATTTATTTGCTAAAATACTTATTGCTAAGGATCTGCTGCAAGTTACTCTGTAGAGACTTACAATACCATAGTAATGACTATTGCAGGACATATGTTTTCTGAGTAATGTAAGATTCTGACCATCATGTCAAAAAACAAATCAGGTATATTATGTGTACAACAACAGCACACCATCATTCTCCTCATTTTCATATAATCTGCGTTCTACAGCATCAACAGTTTTATTTTTTTTTAGATCAGATTTTAATTTTGAGTACTTAACACTATTGTTGATGTGCATTTCACTTTCTTCGTGTTTACTAAGAATATGTGATAAATGTTGCCAATCTTTGCACCCATTCTCATTTTTCAGTTGATTTTTTCCTTCTCCAAAGAGTTTGCAATACAGACAAAACACAGAATCTTTTGAGGTCGAATAAAGTAACCAGGATCTAGTGGTTTTTTCACCATTTGGAAGAATCCGTGTATAATAAGTTTCTGAAAACTTCCTCCCTGTATTATCTTTTGGAAAGTTAAAATTTCTTACTTGAGGTGGATCATTATCGACAAGAGTGTCCCGTTGTTTAATATTCAAAATTCGGGGCCATGTACCTGGATCTGCGGAAAGCACAACTGGTACAATGGAGTCTTCAGAATTTTTCTCTTCCAGTTGCTCTTGAAATATATCAGCTATGGTTGACATGGAAGAAGGAGGTAAATTCACATTCTCTGTGATGAGTAATGTGTCTGTGCCACATTCTACTGAAACCTGTAGCTCTGATGTCTTTTCCTTTTTTTCTGGGATTCCTTCTATGTTTTCCGAAAGTATACTTGATGATCCACAGAATTGTTTCTCATTTTCCTTTCTAACAGCATTCCTTTTTCTATTTTCTGATACTGATGGTTTTTTTGATTTTGTTTCCATCATCTGAGGACAAACAGGATGGATTACAATTTTAAGATTGTTAAACTTTTAAAAATTTATATACTAATGCTCAATAAGCACACAAAAACAAGCTCATCATTAGGCATCAAAGAAATGCGAATCAAAAGGCAACAGCCAGGCGCAGTGGCTCATGTCTGTAATCCCAGCACTTTGGCAGGCCAAGGCGGGTGGATCATTTGAGGTCAGGAGTTGGAAACTAGTCTGATTAACATGGTGAAACCCCATCTCTACTAAAAATACAAAAATTAGCTGGGCCATAGTGGCATGCACCTGTAATTCCAGCTACTCAGGAAGCTGAGGCAGGAGAATTGCTTGAAACCTCAAGGCAGAGGTTGCGCTGAAATGAGATTGCACCACTGCACTCCAGTCTGGGTGACAGAGTGAGGCCCTGTCCCCTCTCCCCAAAAAAGGTGATGATATATCACTTCACATCCAAGAGGATGGCTATAATAAATAAAGAAGGAGGCCGGGTATGGAGTCTTATGCCTATAATCTCAGCACTTTGGGAGGCCGAGGCGGGTGAATCACTTGAGGTCAGGGGTTTGAAACCATCCTGGCCAATATGGAGAACCTCTGTCTCTACTAAAAATACAAAATTTGCTGGGTGTGGTGGCAGGCACTGGTAATCCCAGCTACCCTGCAGGCTGAGGCACAAGAGATCTTGACTGAACCTTGGAGGCAGAGGTTGCAGTGAGCTGAGATCGTGCCACTAAACATCAGCCTGGGCAACAAAGCAAAACTCCATCCTTAAAAAAAAAAAAAAAAAATAGAGAATTAAAGTGTTGGCAAAGATGTGGAGAAACTGAAACCTCCAGAAGATGCTGGTGGGAAATATAAAGTGGTGTAGCCACTTTTGAAAACTGTCTGGTAGTTTGTCAAAGTTTAAACAGAGTTATCATATGATCCAACAAGTCCACTCCAAGGTATATACCCAAAAGAAATAAAAATATATGTCCATACAGGCCAGGCACAATGGCTCACACTTGTAATCCCAGCACTTTGGGAGGTCAAGGCAGGCGGATCATGAGGTCAGGAGTTCAAGACCAGCCTGGCCAAGATGGTGAAACCCCGTCTCTACTAAAAATACAAAGAAAATTAGCTGGGTGTGGTGGTAGGCACCTGTAATCCCAGCTATTTTGGAGGCTGAGGCAGGAGAATCTCTTGAACCTGGGAGGTAGCGGTTGCAGTGAGCCGAGATTGCACCACTGCACTCCAGCCTGGTGACAAGAGTGAAGACTAAGTCACAAAAAAAAAAAAAAAAAAAAAAAAAATTAAAACTCAGGACATATATTAACTTTAGTTTCTATAGAGAACAAAGCTTCTGACTCTTAACTTTCTTAGCTATTGTTTTAAGCTATTATTACCTTTTTTTTTTTTTTTTTGAGATGGAGTCTTGCTCTGTTGCCCGGGCTGGAGTGCAATGGTGTGATCTTGGCTCACTGCAACAACCCCTGTCTCCTGGGTTCAAGCAATTCTCCTGCCTCAGCCTCCGGAGTAGCTGGGATTACAGGTGCCTGCTACCACACCCGGCTAATTTTTATATTTTTAATAGAGACGGCGTTTCACCATGTTGGTCAGGTTGGTCTCAAACTCATGGCCTTAGGTGATCCACTTGCCTCAGCCTCCCAAAGTGCTGGGATTACAGGCGTGAGACACTACATCCACTAGAGATTATTAAACTAAAGCAGACATAAACCTTGGCCTCAGGGGACTTACGGTTTCTTGGGGGGGATAATGCACATGTATAAGCAAATATTTCTATTGGAGGCAATAAGGTACACTAATGAATGTTTCTGTTGGAGGCAATACAGTACACAATCGATGTAGGTCAAATCTAGCTGTGTGACTAGGCTAAATGCTCTCTGAACTTCAGTATCTTTGACATTTTAAAATTACATATACCAGCCAGGTAAGGTGGCTCATGCCTGTAATCCCAGCACTTTGGGAGGCCAAGACAGGCAGATTGTTTGAGCTCAAGAGTTCAAAACCAACCTGGGCAATAAGACAAAACTCCACGAAACCCCTGCAGGCATGCATCACCACACCCAGCTAAAATACAAAAATTAGCCGAGGTGGTGGCGCATGCCTGCAGGCCCAGCTACTCAGGAGGCTGAGGTGGGAGGATCGCTTAAACCTGGAGGATCACTTGAGCTGGAGGTTGCAGTAGGCAGAGCTCACACCACTGCACTCCAGCCTGGGTAACAGAGGGAGAGATCCTGTCTCAAGCAAACAAACAAAACATAAAAACAGATATATTTAGTATAAAACACCAACTAGTCATACCAGGTTAATTAAAACAAATAGGAGTCCCCTACCACCTCTACCTATTTCCCTTTTACCAGAAGCTAACCACCTATAACCTTTTAAAATAAAATTAAAAAAAAATATTTTAACATATATCATTTAAAAATATACATATTTTATTTATATATTTTTAAAATTCACTATCCAGTAATGGCTATATGCAAAAAAATATATATATATATAGTTTTGAGACAGTCTCACTCTGTCATTCAGGCTGGAGTGCAGTGATGAGATCATGGCTCACCATTTGCAGTCGTGACCTCGAGGCTCAAGTGATCCTCCAGGCTCAGCCTCTTGAGTAGTTGGGACCACAGGGGCATGACATGCCAGCTAATTTTTAAGTTTTTTGTAGAGACAGCATTCTCAGCATGTTGCTGAAGTTGGTCTTGAACTCCTGGGCTCAAGCAATCCTCTTTCCTCAGCCTCCCAAAGTGCTGGGATTATAGACATAAGCCATCATGCCAGGCAAAAAATTTTTTTGAGACAAGACCCTTGCTTTGTTGCCCAGGGAGAAGTACAGTGGCCATTCACAGGTGTGATCCTAGTGTACTACAGACTCAAACACCTGGGCTCAAATGACCCTTTTGCCACAGCCTTTCTAGTAGCTAGTATTATACCACCATGCCTAGCACTTCAAACTTTTCTAGCTGATTCTTTGGTTATATATTTCCAAATCTCAGAGTAACATGTTCGTATCACTATTTACTTTTTTCCTTCCCTGCTTTAGGTATCATCAATTGACTTCTCAATGAGGAGGATGAAAATTTTGCTTTCCTTCCTTTTACTACGCTCACTATATATACTCATCACCCAGCCACTTATCTTTGGTTACAGGATTTCTTGGGCAAGATGATTATTTGTTGTAAGGGACTGTGCTGTGAACTGCAGATGTTTAGCAGCACCTCTGGACTCTATCCACTAGATGCCAGCAGCACCCCTGAGGTGTGACAGTCAAAAATGTTTCTATCCTTCTGAATTCTTTAATCTGGCAAATCAAAAAAAAAAAAAAATGTTTCTAGACATTGCAAATGTCCGCATGGAGACAAAAATCGTCCCTGGTTGAGAAACACTGGCTTTATTATTATTTAGACACAGTCATTTTATAACTGTGTATGTTATTCAGCAATAAGCTACTAATTGCAAGATTTCAGTTTTTTTCTTGTGGTGTTCAAATATGAAGGCTTTCTCTGTTGGCCTCTTCAGAAGGCTCACCACTAATTACTTGAAAATACTCATGTAGGCTGTGTGTGGTGGCTCATGCCTGTAATCCCAGCATGATGGGAGGCAAAGGCAGGTGGATCATCTGAGGTCGGGAGTTCAAGACTACCCTGCCTAACATAAGAAACCCATCTCTACTAAAAATACGAAAATAGCCAGGCATGGTTGTGCATGCCTGTAATCCCAGCTACTCTGGGGGCTAAGGCAGGAGAATCGTTTGAACCTGGGAGGTGGAGGTTGCAGTGAGCTGAGGCTGCGCCATTGCACTTCAGCCTGGGCAACAAGAATGGAACTCCATCTCAAAAGCAAACAAAGAGAAAATACTCATGTGTTTGGAGTGGGGAAGCACATTTATAAAATGTAAAACATTCTCATTATACAGAAATATCAATGGCCGGGCGCGGTGGCTCAAGCCTGTAATCCCAGCACTTTGGGAGGCCGAGGCGGGTGGATCACGAGGTCAAGAGATCGAGACCATCCTGGTCAACATGATGAAACCCCGTCTCTACTAAAAATACAAAAAATTAGCTGGGCATGGTGGTGCGTGCCTGTAATCCCAGCTACTCAGGAGGCTGAGGCAGGAGAATTGCCTGAACCCAGGAGGCGGAGGTTGCGGTGAGCCGAGATCGCTGTCATTGCACTCCAGCCTGGGTAACAAGAGCGAGACTCCGTCTCAAAAAAAAAAAAAAGAAATATCATGCCTATATTTGCCAACTTTTTAATTATTATTATTATTTGAGACACGGTCTTACTCTGTTTGAAGTGCAGTGACGCGACCTTGGCTCACTGCAACCTCTGCCTCTTGGGTTCAAGTGATTCTCCTGCCTCAGCCTCCCAGAATGCTGGGATTACATGAGTGAGGCACTGCACCCAGCCCAGAGTAAACTTTTAAAATAAGCTTACAACAATCGATAGACTTGAATATTTGAGATGGGACAAACCAATGACAGAATGACAAAATGGACCTAAATGAGATTATAAGATAAATCTGGTTCATGTACGCTATAAGGGTGAAGCTACTATGTAACTTGATCATTTTCATTAGAAAGAATTACCTGTTTATATTCGTTAATGCAACTTTGGCAGCAAAATCTCTTCTGCTGACCTCCAATCACCAGGATGTTGCTTCCAGTACTCTTACTAGGCATGTACTCTCCACAGTGTTCACAGCAGTTCATTATTAGACCATTGGCCAATCTGTACTTATTAAAGCAATGGTTACTGCACAGTTTATGTGTTACATTATTTACACTGACTTCATGGCGAATCTGAAAAAAAAAAAAAAACAATTCATTAACTAAGATATATGAACCACATTAGTACAACAAACAATGAGATAACTAGTTTCTGCAACAGAAGCAAAGAATCCCTAGTCATATCTCAGGGGAAGATATTCCCAGGAGAAAAAAATATACAAATTATATACACATATAATTTGTTAGAATATCTATATCTATCTATCTATCTATCTATATATATATATAAATTTTTTTTTTCCTGAGACAGAGTCTCACTCTGTTGCCCAGGCTAGAGTGCAATGGCACAATCTTGGCTCACTGCAACCTCTGCCTCCCAGGTTCAAGCAATTCTCCTGCCTCAGCCTCCTGAGTAGCTGCAATTACAGGTGCCTGCCACCACACCCAACTAATTTTTGTATTTTTAGTAGAGATGGGGTTTCACCATGTTGGCCAGGCTAGTCTCGAATTCCTGACCTCAAGTGATCTGCCTGCCTCGGCCTCCCAAAGTGCTGGGATTACAGGCAGGAGCCATCATGCCTGGCTGTGAAAAGATTTTTTTCCTTTATTTGTAAGGTCACTTTGATTTTAGAAGAGAAAAATAAGATTTATAGGAAAGCAATAAAATCAGTAATAACTTCTCTAAAGACATTTAATAACAACAGAAAATGAACTTAGCTCACTCCACCCTCAAACTCCTGGGGTCCAGTGACCATCCTATCTCAGCCTCTTCAACAGCTAGGATTATATGTATGAGTCACTCGTCTCCAGCAATCAACAATTTTTAGATAGTATTATAAGTAAAGTTCACTGCCCTAGAACGTTTGTGGAGGGAGCTAAGGGAATCAATATTACCTGTATTCAGAATGGTTTCAGTATAACCAGAAGCAGAGTAGTTCTCACTGTGGTAACTGAGATAAAATAATGTCCTTTATATGCATGGCTCAGGGGTAACCAACACCAAATTTAGTTACCAAAGACTTTATAAGTGAGGACTGCCTACATGCATCTTTCTTCTAGGAACTGGGAAAATTGCAGTATCACTTAATGTTAAGCAAATAGTATATATACATTTACTCCACTTGTTCCATGTGTTCTTGTACCAGGATCTGTTGCTTTCTTCATGTCCTGCAACTACATTTTTTTAATCATCTATTTTTTTTTTTAATAATTTTAACTTTCATTTTAGATTCAAGGGATACATGTGCAGGTTTATTACATGGATATGTTGTGAGGTCTGGGGTAAGAATGATCCTGTCACCCAGGTAGTAAGCATAGTACCCAAGAGGTAGTTTTAGGTTTTTAAAATTTTTTTTGAGATGGAGTCTCACTCTGTCATCCAGGCCGGAGTGTAGTGGCACAATCTTGGCTCACTGCAGCCTCTGTCTCCCGGGTTCAAGTGATTCTCCTGCCTCAACCTCCCAAGTAGCTGGATTACAGGTGTGCGCCACCACGCCTGGCTAATTTTTCTATTTTTAGTAGAGATGGTGTTTCGCCATGTTGGCCAGGTTGGTCTCAAACTCCTGACCTCAAGATATCCACCTGCCTTGGCCTCCCAAAGTGCTGGGATTACAGACGTGAGCCACCACCTCTGGCCCCAAGAGGTAGTTTTCTAGCCCTTGACCCCCAACTCTTAGACTACATTTTTATTTATTTATTTAGAGATGGAATCTTGCTCTATCACCCAGGCTGGAGTGCAGTGGCGTGATCTCGGCTCACTGTAGCCTCCACCTCTTGGGTTCAAGCAGTTCTCTGCCTCAGCTGCCTGAGTGGCTGGGATTATAAGTGCCCACCACCACGCCCAGCTAATTTTTGTATTTTAGTAGAGACGGGGTTTCACTATCTTGGCCAGGCTGGTCTTGAACTCCTGACCTCGTGATCCACCCTCCTCAGCCTTCCAAAGTGCTGGGATTACAGGCATGAGCCACCACACCTCGCCAAGACTACATTTTTATTGAATGTCACCAGTAAGAACAAAATCCACCAGAAAACAATTGCCTTGTTTATGAGCACAGCCAATCCCACAGAAACAGATGTGTACTTTCCATGCTATGCAAATGGGATTTTATTTATAAAAATATCCCACAAGATACTTCTAACAGATCCTTATTCTTCCTTTTGGCTTCATGTTATACATCCAGAACATGTGCATTATGTAGATAAAGGAGTATATAATAGCACTTAAAAGTTAAAATTAGCACTGTTAGCCTAAACAACAACTTAGGTATAAAAATACAGACCTCTGTTAATTTACTACAAATTGTACATCTTGACTTATTAAAAACTCCCTTTTTAAGATTCCGGTTGTTTTCACAGGGAGACAAACAAGATGTATTACAAAATTCTTGGAAGGATTTGCTTGATTCTACTGGAAGAACATTAGCCTTCTTCGTAGATGCATCTCTGAAACAGAAGAGATAGACACATAATTTAAGAACATTGCATTTTAATACAAGTCAAATATATGAATAATAATTGCCATTCTTCATTTTCTTATGATTTAATACTAGAAATCAACTATAATTTTTGGATGCAGCAAATCTACTTTTGGCTTTATTGCCAAGAGTTCTTAAATGATATGGAAAGAGAAGAATCAGAGATAAAAATCTTTCATAGTTGGCCGGGCGCGGTGGCTCAAGCCTGTAATCCCAGCACTTTGGGAGGCTGAGGCGGGTGGATCATGAGGTCAAGAGATCGAGACCATCCTGGTCAACATGGTGAAACCCCGTCTCTACTAAAAATACAAAAAATTAGCTGGGCATGGTGGTGCGTGCCTGTAATCCCAGCTACTCAGGG